TACTCCACTTACTAGCGGTGGGGTCCTTGACAAGGTATAAAATCTCTCTTATCCATAGTTTCCTCATCTGTAAAATAAAGATGATAATAATAATAATAATACCTATTTGTGCTATTCTGTAAACAAAATAACGGTCTCCTCCAAAGATGCCCTCATCCTAATCCTCAGAACCTATGGCTATGTTACTGTCCATGCAAAGGTGAATGAAGGTTGCAGATGGGATTAAGGCTGCTCATCAACTAACCTTAAAATAGGGAGATTATTCAGGGTTATCAGGGTGGGTCCTTAGCAGTAGAAGAGGGAGGCAGAAGAGGAGCAGAGTGATGCAATGTCAGGACTCGACCTGCCATTGTTGGCTTATAGAAGGGGATCACATGAGCCAAGGAATGTGGGCAGCCCCTAAAAACTGGAGCAGGCTAGGAAGTGTGTTCTCCCCTAGAGCCTCCAGAAAGGAATGCAGCCCCACCAACACCTTGACTTTAGCCCGGTGATGTAAGGGTCAGATTTCTGACATCTAGAACTGTAAGATATTAAATTTATGTTGTTTCAAGCTACTGAGTTAGTGGCGATTTGTTAAAGCGGCAATAAAAAAAATTAGAAAAAAACCCTAATATATCTGCCCAATTGGTTATTGTGAAGATTAAATGAAATAAAATTTATAAAGCTCTTGGCACTGCTCTGGCATACAGTAATCATCTAATTGATGTTAGTGACTGTTCCTATGGTTAACATTTATTCATTCTCTCGATTTTTATTAAGCTATGTGTCAAGAACTATGCTAAGTGCCTGGGATTCAAGACAAAACAAGGCATAGTCATTGGCCCCAAGAAAGCCCAGTCTAATTGAGGAGACAGTCACATAAACAGATAATTCCAATATGAAATATGTATTAATCATGTTTTTAATTTTCAATATTTTTTCATGCTTTGACATCTTTGGGGACCTTGCTAGCTGGGAAAAGACTGCCCCTCCCAGAGCTAGCTAATTCCTAGAGATAGTGAACAGCTTGCCAGTGAGCCAGACTTTCATATGCAAGCCAACCAATCCCTGAATCCATACCCCTAACCACCTCCTTTATGCAACTCACACACCAAGCCATAGTTCCTCTGCCCAAAATCAATCTGGAGCCAAGCACCAAACAACTAGAGACTGTTCCTATGCCCCAAAGCCCGCTGAGATTATTCAAACTAGCCAATCATAAGCTATTTACTCTGCCCTGCCTTGCCTTTCCTACACAAATTCCAACGAAGGTTGTGGCCTATGCTTCCCCCAGTATCTGCTTCTGCCTCCTCAACAATGCTGGCCCCGCAAGACACGCGTGCCTCTTGTGTCTAGGGGAATTGTAACTTTTCTTTCAATGGCATTGGCCTCTTTGTGTCATCACGGAGCCATCTTTTATAAATTAGGACCCAGGCACAAATCAAAGTGTTAAGAACTATACAAAATGTGTTGCCCCAGCCTGGAATAAAAGCAAGAAGAAATGAAGTTAACCACAACAAGAGAGGAAGATGTTTCAAGAAAGTTGCACATTGGGGGTGCCTGGGTGGCTCAGTTGGTGAAGTGGTTAAACAACTGCCTTCTGCTCAGGTCATGATTCCAGGGTCCTGAGATTAGGCCCCCAGTCCAGCTTCCTGTTCAGCAGGGAGTCTGCTTCTCCCTCTGCCCCGACTCTCCCCTGCTCATGCTCTCTCTCTCTCTTTCTTCCAAATAAATAAATAAAATCTTTTTTTTAAGTCGCACATTGAAGTTGTATGTAATCAAACCTTGTGAACAAGCTATTCTTTAACCTTTTATAAAAATAATTCTACTGTTTTGGTTCCCTTTCATTGCTAACGAATCATATGCTTTGATTTCTACATTGTTCACAGTGTAAGAAAACAAGAATGGAGTAACTGGAATCCTTATGCCATTAAAAAACAAATCTCCTTTTCCGTTGTAATGTAGACCTCGACACCATCAAGACTTTTGCTAGATGAGAGTATAGGATTTTTTTCTTCCCCTGTCTGTGACAGCTCTACCTGTCAGAATGTGCTGACCAGAACCTTGACCCATTAACAGGCAGCCAAAGGGGATGGAGCAACCAAAGACCAATTTGCGTGATTACCCCCTAAATAGTCATGAACTGAACAATAGAGAAGAGGATCAGCCAGGTTTGTGCTATACTAGTTCAAGTCAAGGCACTCATTATCAGAGCTCTGTATGTAACCACACTCACTGATAAAATTCCAGAGTTGCACAATCTCCTGTGAAAAAGATAGCATCGTGGTGGTCTGACTGGTCATGTAGAGAATGACCTGTGATTTTATACTGTTTCCTGCTGTCACAAAGTGAAAGACTGTCCTCGGCGGTTTGTTTCTTAGTAATTCTGACATATTATGTCAAAAGCCAGTTTTCATGGATCAACCAAAAAAGAAACTAGAGGGTATAAGCAAGAATAGTGGAAGTAAAGAGAGATTGAATCTTACCAGACAGAAATAAAGCTGAAACTTCCTTGATTTTAGCCCTTATCACCCCCAGGATCTCTTTTTTTTTTTAAACCTTTTTTTTTGAAAGATTTTATTTATTTAATTGAGAGAGAAAGAGAGAGAGAGCACAAGTTGGGAGGAGAGGGGCAGAGAGGGAAGCAGGCTCCCCGCTGAGCAGAGAGCCTAATGTGGGGCTCCATCCAGGACCCTGAGATCATGACCTAAGCCAAAGGTAGTTGCTTAACCAAATGAGCCACCCAGGCGCCCCCAGCCCTAGGGTCTTAATTGCTAAATGCAGGTAAGCCTCTCCAGAAATCTTCAAGACAACAAAGAAAAGAAATTGTGGAAAGTGATTAAAACTTGTGGTATGTGACTCTACTCAGGTTACTAAATAGTTAGCTTGGCTGTGCAGTAATTATTTATAGCAAACTATAAAGGTGTACCCCAGAGTTCTGAGGTAGCAATCTTCTGACAGACGTAGTTAGGTGGATGAGCTATTTGGTCCCATCCAGGTTCCTCTCTTCTTTCTTGCGATCTCTAAGTCCGCTGAGCCTCTCCTGTGGGCCCCCTGCTCTTCTTGTCTCACCCCAGTTTATGCTGCTGTGACACATTTCTTGAGCACAGAAGGTTCTCAATTGCAACATTATTCAAAGTTCACTTTTGAGGTTCAACCCTGGAGTCACTGTAAGGAGGTTTGCCATAAACGACCCTGTCAATGGCTGGTTGCTTATTAGCCCGCAGTGGCCTCTTTTTATTTAGACAGTATTGAGACTCAGATCATACTCCCTACTTCCCGCCATTCAACAGCTATATGCCTTTTAATGGGGAGGGTAACTGTTACAAAACAGGACACTAATATGGACTTCATGACCCTTCCTGCATTGCAACATACAATATTTACTCCCACTGGGCAGGGGTGTTACTCTTTAACCATTTCATTTCGCCCCCAATATATGGGATGCTATGGATATACATTCTGAAGCCCTCAGTAACTACCTGAGTGGTTTTTGTTTGTTTGGGTTTTTTGTTTTGTTTTGTTTTGTTTTGCTTTGTTTTGTTTTGTTTTAGTGGGAGTGGGAGTGGGGTAGACTAGCTGAAAGAAGTGACAGGATTGTTGCTGCGATCAGATCACCGTCTTCACATCCCTCAAGGTTGAGTTTGGGCTTGGAGTAGAGGATGCGTCTGGAAAGCTGCTGGCTCATATAATGGCTTTGTGCCATTCTCCCTTTGGGAGAATGAACTGCTAAAAGATGTCCCCTCCAAGTAGACTATTTGGAAATAGGAGCCCCTCTAGGGCTCCAGTATTTAAAAGGAACAGCACCTTGCAAGGCACAGATTTTGGCTAGTAGTCCTCTCAGTGGGCATGAGGACACAGTAGTTAAATGTGGCTCTAGGAGGAGGTCTTGGGACATCCTGGGCAATGTGATTCAGTTGTCTGTATCAGGGCAATTAGTTAAGATTATTATGACCTGGTGAGAGAAGCATCTCTACTATGTGCCTTAACGTGGTGAGTCATTTTAATTACCATCTGGACAACAGTCCACTGAGACTGAGATTTTACAGGTGAGGAAACTGAGGCCAGGGTTAAGTATCTTGTCTGATGTGACATGGTGCCATAGGATTTTGATTTTCATCCTGCTGTCTTCCCTGGCACTCATTATTGTCTTTCTCTGGTTTGTTTTTCTCCCTAGCACTTGCTGCTAATACTAGCTATTTCACTCTTCATTTATACATTGTCAGTCTCTCACAAGTAGAATGTAAGCTGATGAAGGTAGGGACTCATGTCTGCTGCATCCCCAGCACTTAGAACAGGACCTGGCGCATAGCAGGCTCTCTCCGTAACACTTACTAAATTAATGAATTGTACAAACATCAGGGTCCTTTCTCCTATACCAGTCTATTTTTATAAACAACTTCGGGCAAATAATAATGCATTGAAAGATTCTCGAGGAAAAGTTTATATTAACACAAAATGTGCAATGTTACAACCAGGATTTTCTGTTAATAAACTTCTATTTACTTCTGATAATAAACTTCTGTTCACTAAGACCAACCTTTGCCTTTGCAAACAGATTTACTTAGGTCTGATTTCTTTGATGATAAAACAGAATTATCAACCCCTGTTAAGCTGTTATTTGCATATGGTAATGCAGAATAATACCGTAAACTTTCTATGCAGATAAGTGCAGAGCATACAAAATAGATAAATCCTTCGAAATAAGATTCTTATTGTGGGGTACTTAAATCTGGCAAGCTAAATATCAGGTTTTGTATCAAGTTGCAACTAAGTATTGTTAGCCGTTTCAAAAGTAAAGAGTGACATGTTTTAAACCACTTTGCATAATTTCCTCCTGATTTATTAAGAGTTCACTGCGTGCAGGCCACTGTACTGTGGCTTATTGTTCAAGGAACAAAGGGAGCATTTAGAGATGATTTTTACCCTCCTGGAATTTACGCAATAAATGGAAGAAAGCAGAGTTATGCACACTCTAGTGGTTCCAACAATAACTGTCGACTTTTTATTTGTCATCAGAAGCCTGGCAACAGAAAACTTTTCTTTCTGGGTTTACGAGAACTGAGCTGAAGTGGGAAACGTTATTTGCTTTGACGAAACAATTTACTTTTGTGCAACATTAAGTTGTGTCAAACAAGCAAATAAAGGAAGAAGCTTAAAATTGCCTGCTTCTGATTTCACTTCATTGCTTCTCAGCCTCCAAGAGGAAAAAAAAATGAAGATTTTGTGGCTGAGTATTTTTCTATTTTTACATAGTAACTCAGCCTGGGCGAAAGAGAAGCATTATTACATCGGAATTATTGAAACAACTTGGGACTATGCCTCTGACAATGAGAAGAAACTTATCTCAGTTGACACGTAAGTCACTATTTTTATTGCTTATAGACCAAATTTATAAACTATCAATTAAAAAATAAAGGCAATAAGATAAAATATTTTATTAATTTGTTGTAAATAGAAAGAGCAAAGTGTGGACTGGACATCCAGGAAACTTTAATAAATCTCCTCTAAATTCCTGGGCATTTTTTGATGAGGGAGAAAGGCTGCCCTACTCCTTTCCCTTCGGTCCCAGGGGATCTGCGGGCGCTCCTTATTACCTCCTCTGGTTATTATTTTGTCTCTCATCAGGGTTGAGTCTTCTTGTCTGTTTATGCTGAGGATCCTTAATTTAAATAATGACAGTGTAAAATGTTATGTTTATCATACCATTTATTGATTACTAGTAGGTAAGAATAAAATGTTTTTTGATCCTTTAAAACATCATTTATAGAAATCAAACACAATTTTAACAAATATAACTGTACCCAGTACTTGTTGGATGACTCCAGACAGTTAATTCAGTTTAATCGCTCTCAGCCTCAGCTTGCTAATCTGTAAAATGGAGATAAAGAACACCTCATAGGGTTCTTGGAAGAGTGGGTGCGTTTAAAGCTCTTAGTACAGTGCTTGGTCCATCACACATGTACAAAAAATGTGAGATATCTATTGTGATGGCCCCCCAAAAAACTCTGTGTAACTTAAACGTTTTCATGTTTTAGGTGAAAGCTCCCTTATTTCAAGCAATAATCACCATACAGAAAGGCAAGAGCGTAGTTCTCCTTGACATTTTTATAATGGAAGTTTATACTGAGGTCATCACTTTTAATAATGCTCATTAATTATTTATCACCACACTCAATGTTCACTACTTCTAAACATGTGTTTTAATGGTGATAAAGCACAAATGAACCCAATGACCATCAGCTGCTAAGATTATATCTTTAAAAATAGCTAAGCAAGTATGCCAATTTTCATAATCGTTGATTATGTTGACGGGTATATGCCATTCTCGTTCATTTTATGTATGTTTGAAATTTTTCACAGTAAAAAATAAATGCATAGCTGATAATATCTAATTGTTAAGTTATTAATTTAGTAATATACAATAAGAAAAGTTTCTGACCTAAAAATAACTGATTGTAAACAAAACTAATACACCTTGCAATAATTTTTTTAAAGCCTGGTTTTGAGGTAGCATTCTCTTCTTAGGAATATGACCTATTTTCATGACTTCACCAAGCTATTTTGTATGGTGGCAGTATTTTCCCTGATTAAATACAATGTAAATTATATGTGGTTTCTGTAGGGAAACAAAACACTATACTCCATGCCCCCATCCACCATTCTTCTGCTCTTATTCATGATCAAAAATCAAATCAGCTTTACCGGACATAAACTAAGTGCAAGACATTGCCCCAAACATTCTTCAATAAAGAAGTCTGTAATTCCAGAAGTGAGAGAAGAGAGAGGGTGTTTATTAAGAATGGTGGGGGAGGGGAATTGGGGGACAGAGAATTCCTTTGGTTTTAAATGCTCTTGTGTCTTGTCTGGGCTTAGGGAGTTTGCACGGTTTGATAATCTGTGGTTTCAACAACAACCTAGAGTCATGCGAACTCTAAATGGCACTGCTCACTCTGCCGGTGATCTCTTTTTTTTTTAATATATCTGAACTGTGACTATTGAACACAGCTTTAGCAATTTCACCAATACTATACTAAACTTTTTGTAAAGATGAGTTTAGGTAGCAACTTGTTTCTCCCTTCTCTGTCTCTGATTACCAGCGTGTCCAGCAGTCTTAGTTTGTTCAGGCTGCTAGAGCAAAATATTACAGATTGGGTAGCTTACTAACAACAGAAATTTATTTTTCAGTTTTAGAGGCTGAGAAGTTCAAAGTCAAGGTACCATCATGGTCATGTTCTAGTAAGAGCTCTCTTCCTGGTTCATAGCCTTTTCACTGTGTCCTCACATGGTGGAAGAAGCTATGAATCTCTCTGGAGCCTCTTTCAGAGGGCACTAATCCCATTTATGAGGGCTCCATTTTCATGACCTAGGCATATTCCAAAGGCCCCATCTCCTTATCCATCATATTAGAGGTGGTCTTAAAACTCCAGAACCCATACGTATGAAGAGCTAGCACTCTCATTGTCTATATTATATTCAATGGCACAGTTGGCTTTAAAATAGGGTGATGACTCAGCAAAGGAAACAGTCAACAAAACTAAAAGGTAACCTATGGAATGGGGGAAGATATTTGCAAATGTCTTATCAGATAAAGGGCTAGTATCCAAAATCTATAAAGGACTTATCAAACTCAACACCCAAAACACAAAAAATCCAGTCAAGAAATAGGCAGAAGACATAAACAGACATTTCTCCAGAGAAGACATGCAAATGGCCAACAGACACATGAAAAAATGCTCAACATCACTGATCACCAGGGAAATACAAATCAAAACCACAATGAGATATCACCTCACACCAGTCAGAATGGCTGAAATTAACAAGTCAGGAAACAACAGATGTTGGCGGGGATGCGGAGAAAGGGGAACCCTCCTACGCTGTTGGTGGGAATGCAAGCTGGTGCAGCCACTCTGGAAACAGTATGGAGGTTCCTCAGAAAGTTAAAAATAGAGCTACTGTATGACCCATCAATTGCCTTACTAGGTATTTATCCAAAGGATATAAACATAGTGATTTGAAGGGGGCACACGCACCCCAATGTTTCTGGCAGCCATGTCCACAATAGCCAACCTATGGAAAGAGCCCAGATGTCTACTGACAGATGAATGGAGAAAGAGGTGGTATTATATACAATGGAATACTACTGAGCCATCAAAAAGAATGAAACCTTGCCATATTGTATCTGAAGGTTGCCAGAGGGGTGGTTGGTGGTGGTAAGGGGTAACTGGATGATAGGCATTAAGAAGGGCACTTGATGTAATGAGCACTGGGTATTGTATGCAACTGATGAATCACTCAATTCTACCCCTGAAACTAAAAATATAGTATGTTAACTACATTGAATTTAAATAAATAAATAAATAAATAAATAAATAAATAATAAAATAAACATAGGGTGATGATCTGGGTGTGCCTAATCTAAACCAGAGAATTCCTAGGGGAAGAAGAGGAAGAAAAAGAGATTTGAGGTGATTCAACAAACTGCTGTTGACTCACATTTGGAAGAGGCCAATTGAGAAGGAATATGGGTGGCTGTGAGGAGCTGAGTAAGGTCCTCCACTTACAGCCAGCCAGGAAGTGGGGATTTCAATCCTACAACCACAGTGAACTGAATTCTGCCAAAAACCTGAATAAGTTTGGAAGTGGATTTCTCCAGCACCTCCAGATGAGTGCTCAGCCGCATCATCCGCACCTTGATGTCAGCCTTGTGATAACCTGAGCAGAGAAGCCAGTCACGCCGGGCCAGACTTCTGACCCACAGAGCTGTGAAATAATCAGTGGGTGTTGCTTGAAGCTGTTATGTGATAATTTGTTATTGGGCAATAGAAAACTAATGTTCTGTGTCTCCACTGATGAAGCCAAGAATCCAGAAACTTTTCCCATATATTACCCACATGTTAGTAATCATGTCTAAACATAAACCAAGACCACTCAAGTGCATTCTGAATTTATGGAAGGATGTAGCATTATTATTGTCTTACTAAGGCAGTATAAATTTTTTTAAAAATTCCACTACCATTAAAAACTCACTTCTGAGTGTGAGTCTACCAGAAATTGTAAGAGTTGGCCACAGGATTCTAGAAGTTGGGGGTGGGTGAAAAAGAGGGATGTGATTACTGAGAGGGAGACAGTATCTATTGTAATGAGTTGAAAGGAGCATGTTACAATTGTCAACAGGAAGAACTACAATTAATATGAATTATCTGGTTCAAAGACCAACTATAATAGATTCTTTTGACTGAGTATCTGACTGTCAAACTTCCTGCAAACTGCCAGTAACCGACCCTTGTCCTCAAGCTGTGTTCTTGAAATTAAATAGACATCTTCTAATGACCCTTTGATATTCCTCTGGAGACAGAACATAATTAAATAGACCTCCTTTAGACTATCACATGATATGAAATATTTCCCAATTTGGTTAATTTTATTTCAAAAAAAAAGATAGGAAACATATTTCGCATATTGCTGTGTATATAAAAGGAATTCCAAATGTTAAAAACTCTGAATATATGTTATAACTTCAGTTCAATTATTTCAAAAGAAATTTTTGCCTCCCCCAAATCTCTGTGTACAAAGAGTGAATCCCGAGGCTGAGGCAATGCTCCTCCTGTATCAGGAGGTGATTAATACAGGGGAACTTCTGTGCAATAAAGGCATCCCACCAAAACTCACTGCATTTTATTGAAGTGGGATGGGACATGCCTCAAGTGTTTCAGAGTCACATTCAGAAAATAAAAATACACAGAGTATTTGAGTGAAGCCTTAAAAATTTGAGGGCCAATGTAAAATGTGTATCAAGAGGGCATTTTAGAACACAGATTAGAATCTCGACTTAAATATCTCCAGGACAAACCTCCTACCACTAGGAGACACTGGAGAAAGTTTACGCTCAGACTTGGATGGGCCTGTGTAAGACTGAGTGCTGGGGTGACCAGAGAGGAATTCCATCTCCGCACTGCGAGCTGTGCTCTAGCCGTGTGCCTGACTGAAATTGTACTCCCGTGAACCTCCTCACAACAGTACCTTCTGGATGAATCTGCTTTTAATCTCAGTGGCCTTCAGTACCTCAGAATTTTGCTGTTGTTAAAACATCTCCTGGGGTGCCTGGGTGGCTTAGTTGATTAAGTGTCTGCCTTTGGCTCAGGTCGTGATCCCAGGGTCCTGGGATTGAGCCCCGCATCAGGCTCCCTGCTCAGCGGGAAGCCTGCTTCTCCCTCTCCCACTCGCTCTGCTTGTGTTCCTTCTCTCGCTGTCTCTCTCTCTGTCAAATAAATAAATAAAAATCTTAAAAAAAACCCTCCTTATTAGGACTCCTCCTGTTCATGTTAACGCTGCAGTGTTAGAGAAAGAATTCACCCCCCTGTCCGGCTGTTTTCCCATGCATTTTCATGTCCTTGAAGTCCCTCTGAGCCTTTCTGAATTCATTTTTCTATTTTATTCCAATGAAATGGAAACTCCAACATACAATTAGAAAATGAAAACAATCAGGAGAAATGAAGCAAAAGATGTCACTTCTTTGCGTTCTGACTTCCAGCTTGGCCCCCTTCCTATCAAAAGGGTTCATTTGTCAGTGAACAATCTGAGAATCCTGGAGTTGATGCAATCCGGGAAAAATGGCATCTTCGGTATATGGTGACAACGATGAGATACTCATTGTCAAAGTCCTCTGGTCAATCCAGGGCATGGTGTTCTGCTATTTGCAGCACCTGCTGCTGCTGCCCAAGCTCAGCCACCAGAACCACTGCTAAGCAGCTACGCTCACTGGTTCCAGTACTCAGATTTAATCTGATGTCCTCATGCAACTATACCAACAGAGGTCTGGCCACTACCAGGCTAGGGTCTGGAAACAGAACCTGCCACCTTTCTGTCTCACTGTCCCAAGAAATCCCACTCCTTCTGGGATTAGGCAGCTCTCTTCCCCTTCACTTTGGAGTCTCCCATATTCAAGTTATCCATGGTCCAGCGCTGCCTGCCCCCAACAGAACACACCAACACACTGGGGTGTTTGTTAGTAACTACGGATGCCTGAGCCCCAGCCTAGATGCACACCATCAGAATCAATGGGGCTAAATGGCCAACAGGCACATGAAAAAGTGCTCAACATCGCTCGGCATCAGGGAAATCCAAATCAAAACCTCAATGAGATACCACCTCACACCCGTCAGAATGGCTAAAATTAACAAGTCAGGGAAC